TCTAAGACTAACAGTTAAATACCAGCATGACCACCCAGGTATTTATAAACATCTGGATTCTTTGATTGTATTTTTCTTTTTTTCTGCTAATAATAATTAAAATTTTGACATATTTTATCTAAACTCCTTGTTTTTGTTATCCTTGGCTTGTGTCACTTCTTCATTTTTAATACTTGCAGGTTTCTTCTAAAATAAACATTCAGACCCTACAACACAGTATACTAAAGTATATACAGTAATTGGAGATAATGTTATCAAATAGTTATTGTTATCAAAATTAGTTGGTCACAATCAGTTTATTTTAAATAATTTAAAAGTTATTCATTTATTATAATCAAAGTTCTGGATATTTTTTTCATAATGTACAGTTATTGCTAATGAATTTAATAGCATCAAAATGAATGTCCATTCATCTAATTTTTATAATTTATATTTAATATTTTCAGAAGGTTATTGTTATCTATTTGGTTGAGTCTAAAATAATTTCCGTTTTAGTTTATCAATTTTATTTTTTAAAAATATTACAATTGGTTCTCAAAAATGCAATTTACTATTGACAATAAATAAATGCTTCTATCCCAGAGTAGTTGCCATAAGCAGCTGTTTCTGCAGATATAAAATGATCAGAATCCCTTTTTTTTTAATGAAAAGAGTGGCCTACTGAACTGTACTCTCAACAAACCATTTCACTCTGAGTCAGCCTATGAGGAGGGGTTGAAATGTTCTCAGCTGAAATCACTTCCCAAATATCTGACCAAATATTAGATATTTGTTTTGAAGGGATTATTGGTTGAACTGAGAACTTTTCAGAAAATCCTATGCTATTCATTTGATCAGCTCCTTTCATCAGACTCAAATTTCTTTCTAAAGCCACTCAAATATTCTATAATGGTGCATTTGGGAAATGAGGACACCATGTCTCTTTCTAAGCAAACCAATTACAAATGTATGGATGCCTAAGAGCAGAACACATTATCTCATCCATTGTGCCACGTGTTTGAAAGGAAATAGAGACTGGAAGACAAGAGAGAAAATGGCTTCAGATTCTCTTCAAACTTGATGAAGGAATAAACATTCCTACCATGTTAAAGCCAAAGATTTTACAAGTAAATAAATGTATTAATTAGCAATGTTTAGGATATTGCTCTCTACTAATACTGAAGAAATTTCTGCAATAAAGTCATATCAATATTTTGATTATCTGTTTGTGTAAATGAAAAAGGACTGAGATAATAAATTACAACTACAAACAACTTTACCTTAGCTAATGGGAGAAATGACAAATGAATATTAACAAGCTTTGACAGGACAGGAAAATAAAATTTCCCATCCTTGAAAAATGTGTTTCATTATTGAATATATATTTGGCTTGATATTCCTATTTTCTTTGTTCTGAGTTTTTTTTTTGTTTAAATGAATTTAATAAAATATATACTTTGTAATGATTCATATTACATTATTCTCAAAACTTTATTCATCATGTATCCTGGGTATGATGACAAACTACATTTGGCAACAAGTCATCTTATCAGGAGATTGGAGGTTTTGGGGAGTGATGAACCACTTCTTAATGGCTTTTGTTCCCAGGTCCACCCTGACCCAGGGTGGTAGCACCTGTTAGGGTCACAGCTATGGACAAATAATGAACCCTATAACAACAACAAAATTATGAAAGTATAAAAATACATTTTTATATAAAAAATTTACCAACAATTCATTTTATTTGTAGTTGAAGGCATACAGTTGTGTTCCAGGTATTTAGATTTCAGTATTAAATAACCCATAGAGGTGTTGATTTGCTGCACCTTAAGGTGGCATATGGGTGAGTGCATGCATATATATATATATATATATATATATATATATATATATATATAATAAAATGTTAATAACTCTACTCAGTTTGTGTAAAAAACCTGGATAACACAATTTGCAAATAAAAATATATTTTTATTTGCAAATTGTCTTACCCAGGTTATGAAGAATGAAAGAAAATGAGAAAACATTAGGGGGGGGCAAAGACAATAAAAAAAAAAACAGGACTCAGGAAGGCCAAAGATGGCAATTGATGTTGCATTTACATTTTTGAAGATTATTGGTGACAGGGAAGAAGGAAATCAGAAGAGAGTTCCACAGGTGAGAAGTGCAAAAGAAAAGAAAAAATCAGAATAGAACTTCCAGTCACATTTAGCAGTTTCAAGAGTATGACGATGAGATCTAGTAGCTAATCTAGTACTACATTAAAATTTGTATGGTCAAAGTACCAATGACAAAAAATTCATCAGAATAATTAGCATGAAAATATTTATGGAAAAAGGTAGAAATAACTGAAACTTTGATGCCAGGTCAGCACCGATAATATTGTGAATTCTTCTTTGGATTTTATCAAGAATCTCTATAAATATAGCAGAAGCACTGAACCAGATGTGACTGAAATATTTGATGCATGGATGAAAAGTAGATTCAATATAATCATCTCCCACTTCATGTCCAGTAGAAAACATGAGACTAAGAAGGAAAAATGGTCAATTATTAATGAACATGTAAACAAAAGCAAAAATTCATGAATGTGCACATATAAAGGCAAAGAAAAAAAAATGCGCGTGTACATAACAAATTAAAAAAGACATGAAAAAATTGGAAATAAACATTCAAATAACAGTCCCCTTGAAGACTGGACAATTCCCAAAAACTTTGAAGTTGAGGAAACAACATCAAAAATTGATATTTACAGTTAAGTAACTTTATCATATATATATATATATATATATATATATATATATATACACGAAACCTAGGTAAGTAGTTCCTGAATCACTAGAATTTTTTATTCTCTGCTCTATTTAGCATATTGATTACTTTACTTTTTTTTAATTATTTACTAAATTGGGGTCTTTTACTTTGGACTAGAAATTATGGCACTGGATGATTTTTTTCAACCTACTCAAATGTTTTGAGTAGGTTGAAAAAAATTGGTCAAATCCAGTGACTAGACCCAAAGAGTTGTGAGTTCAATACCAGGCTACAGTAATGGTGAACAAAAAACTTGGAGAGTTGAGTAAAAGGGAAATAACTGAGACATCCAGAAGAGGCATGGCACGTGGAATTAGAACAATCTACCCCGGTGAATAAAATAAAGGGTTCAGTTCAAAATTTCAATCACCTGAAGAAGGCCGGAGCATACAACAGCCAAAATATTGTGAATATGGCAATGAAGATGAGGATAACACTCTGAATAATATAAATAATGTAAGTAAATATATACATTTGTCACTCAAAAAATTAATTTGTGTCTATTCTGGTGTGGCTGGTGTAGTGGCAATTAGTGAAGGTGTTGGTGGCATTTAATTTTTTGGTTCAGGAAATTAAATCTAACTTAACGCTGCTGATAGCACACTAATTCTATTAGAAAAGGCATGAACCCACTTTGATTTTATTACTGGTTGTAAGTAGAAGGATTTGTGAAAATTGGAAAATCAAAACACATATAAACACACATGAGGAACCAATTGTACTGCTGGCCATTCAATTGTAGCTGAAGCACATACAACTTAGATCAAAATTTGAATGTCAAGTTCTGGATAAAAGGACTCAATTTTTTTTTAAAAATTTTGTTTTGTTTAACATGTAAGTAACTACTTTCATTGATGCACTGATATATTGTGATATTTAACTGGATTTTTGAAGTTTACAGTCTGGTCAGTGTTTCTCCTTTGCTATTGGTACCATGTAACCTACCATTGTCTGTTTCATATTACCTGAGGAGAGGAGTTTAACACTAGCAATTGAAACCCACTTACCTGTGAAATGTAATGAAGATAATGTTTTGACTTATTGGACCAATGACACAGAATATTGTATCTTTCAACCTTCATTAAATAAAGTTTTAGACTTTTAAATAAGTTACAAGAATCAAGAAATTTCTTCTAGAAAAAGTGTATAGGAATACAGAAAGTGCTTATCTCCCTTTGGTGGAAATACATCACATAACTCTATACAGTGACAAAAGCAGCAGTCAAATTCAGTTTGTTTTTCAGCAGCCACCATGTGAGGTTGCTTCCTTTTAGACCAGGCTGAGGTTAAATCTGTCTCCCCCAGCAGCTTACAATCACATATTTTTCCAGGTGTAGAATGAAATGCCAGCTTGCAGTCCTCAATTTGAGAAAACCAAAGACTCATTGTTTCCCATTTGTGGAATATGTCCTCAGCTGGGACATAGATGAATCTGGCCCATTTGATACTGGAGTCCTAAACATGGCTTCTCAAGACACAGGAGTATCTCCATATTATATGTAAGACCTTCCTTTATGTTTCTCCTTACACTCTGCTTTGTTTTGCTATATGCAATATATTATTCGCTGCATGGGGCATGTGTGTGTGTGTATATATATATATATATATATATATAGGTTTGTGTATGTCTTTGTTATACAAAAGTCTCTCTGAGAAAAAAAGCATATTTTGCCATTCTTTTTTCCTTTCAGACATTCTGTTCCATCCATAAACTATGGTGTCATTTTTATCACGGATATAATAATATAATAATGAGGGAAAATACAAATGGCAGACAGAATAAATCTTCCTTCCATAGCTCTCTCCCATTACAAGTATATTAATCAATTCATTCATTTTCTATGGCTTATCAACCCATTACAGGTTATTTAAAGACAGAAAATATTTTTTTCTTTGTAAGAATTTTTAATTTTTTTTGTTGGTGATAATAGTGATTCAGTGACATGTTTTACTAATTAACCCCTAACTGAGGGAGAAGAAGTGGATTCATGCCTTTCCCAAATGTATTTGTGCATAAATTAATATAACAAAACCAAATGGAATTGGAACTCAGCTCTCCGATTAACAATTCAGAGCTGTCATACATAAAAGCACCTCACATTCAAGCTTACAGCACCTTGTATTTCCAAGCAGTCACCCATTTAGGTACTGAGCATGCTCAATGTTGCTTAACTTTGGTGATCGTAGAGGAGCTGATATTTCAAGCTTATAGCACCTAGCATTCCGAAGCAGTCACCCATCTAGGTATTGACCAGGCTCGTTGTTGCTTAACTTCGGTGATAATACGGGAACTAGTGTTTCAATCTGATAGGTCCATAAGCTTTATTAATGAAGCATTCACTTTTAATGTATTTCACATCTTTTTAATTCATCATCAAACTGATGCATTTTTTTTTTTTTTTAATGGGTGTTAACTGAGGCCAAACATTTATTTGAAATCTCATTGGATTTATACTGATTTGACCCCAAAATTTGTTTGGTTTATTAAGTAAATTTTCTACTTAATAAGCAAACAACCTTTTAGGCCAAACCAATCTAATATCTTCTTATTTTTATTTAGTATTTCCTGAATATTAAAGTAAACATAAAGTTAAGATAACAGTTAATCTTGTCTACCCGTGCTATAAATCAAAACAAATATAATAATAATAATGATAATAAAAGAAAATAATTTTAAAAATTTGTATATATCTCCAAATGAAGAGAAAAACAAACAGGTTTAGAATCCATGGTTCTGTGGCATTTACTTTTTTTTTTAAAAAGTGCTCAATACAAACATAGAGCATAATATTTTAATGATATTTTTATTAAAAATATTTTACATTGTCAGATGGAAATTTCCATATTTCAAGATTTAAAATTTTTATCTTGTCATCAGGCAATGTTCACTAACTTTTTGATAAATATGATTTACATTTGAAAATAGAAAACAGTATATTTGCTTATTAAAGAGTTAAGATGGAGGAGCGGATCCAGATTTTAAAATCTTATAGGTACGTCTGATTTAACTAATCAAAAGAAAGGTCAAAGCTAAATTGGAAAAGTTAAAAATATAGATTAGGTGTTCTGGGGCGGGGGGAGTATTCAGACATGACTTGGGGATCTGTTATATTACAACTCGACAACATACTTCCTGTTAAGAGTAAATTTAAGTTACAAAGAAATATTCTGAGAGATATCTATATTTTTAACAATGAGTTAATTTTTTTAATTATTATTTCATATACTTTAGAACTATCTTAAAGGGGCCTCTGGTATGATTAAATCATCTTTTAGATATTTTTGAACCTAAAAATAAAATTCGATTCTTATTTTATTCAATAAATATCCATGGCAATTTTAAAATTAAAAAAATTGAAAAATTAAATCAACATTACATGTACCATTATATATAATAAAATTGTCAACAGCATCCATCCATCTCAAGTGATGATGGAGTAGCATGGTGCACTACGAGCCTGGGTAGGATATATGGAGAACTAAGGCTGCCCAGACGTCTAGTTCCCCCCTTTCGGCCTTGCGAGTCCAAAGGAGAAGATAAACCAATACAGTTTGGTACCAGCGCAGCTTTAGGAGATGCCAGAAGGTAGCACAAAGTGCTGTCCATCCGCCTTAGGGGCTCCACTCTGGGTTTAAGTTCAGAGTTGTCCTTCTCCTAGACCAGTTGCCATCCAAAGCTATAGAACCCAATCTGTTCTGTTATTTACCCATAGCTGGAGGGAAAAGAAGAGGATTCACACCTTTCCCAAGGGTATTAACACGTAAGTGAACGTAATGGATTCAACTGGATTTCAAACTTGGCTCTCCAATTCTTCAATCCAAGCCTCTATCCATTACCCCCCCGTGCCTCCTTACATAATAAAATAATGGATATATAATTACAATATATAGAATTTTTATGAAAATTCATTAACTATATTCTCATGTAAACATTGTACAATATCTACATATGACGGTGAGTTCATTTTGCAGATTTAATAGATCAATATTTTTAGAAAACTTAATTGTGTGTAGCTTTTCATGTAGACATATATATATATGAATTTGTAAATCCTTAAATGAAAAGCTTACATGAAATCCTTACATGAAAAGCTACATATATATGTGTGTGTGTGTGTGTGTGTGTGTGTGTGTGTAAAAATACAGATATAAATAAAAGTATATCTGTAAAAAGACAATATGAATAAAGACAAAAAAGTTTTATTTACTAACACATTTCAAATCCTGACAGATTTTATGAAGAGAAGTGTACGGATTTTATTTTGCAACATGTATTTATAAATGAAAGTGGAAGAAAAATGTCATAAAGTTTTCAAAACTTTAAATTTAAGAACACCCTAACATTAGCTTTAAATTTATTTTAGAGTTTTCATGAATTTTAAGTTTTTGGAATTCATCCTCCACAGAGATTTCGAAAATTCAATCAAATTTAGAAGCAATGAAAAATGTTTTAAAAAATAAGAAACAAAAAGCAACACATTTGAGAGAACATATCTCTAAAAATTATATGAACACAATTTTAAAAAAAAAACTAAATCTGCTCTATGACATATTGACTTTTCTATAATGGTCATGGAAATAGTAAAACATTTTTAAAATCTTTAATGTCATATTTCAGATATGGTTTTTAATTCTGAATTCTGTTTTATAGCACACTGATTTTTCTATAATGGTCAGTAAACATTATCTTTAAATTTATTTTAGAGTTTTTATTTTTATTTTATTTTTTATTTAATTTTTTTTTACTTCTGTTTCTAAAATGTTGCAAAATCAAATCCTTACATTTACTTTGATAAAGTCCCTCAGGAGATGAAACACATTGGTAAAGAAAAATTTTCTTTTTGTATTTATATATATATTCCCTTACAGTGGGGCTTCTTAGCCTTCAGGCAAAGCATATGTAATATACAACATACCACACTATCTCCTGTTTGAAAAAAATCTCATGTGACTACAATAATATCTCCATTATAAACTCTCATATCTCTCTTTCTCCAACACAAGAAAATATCCCTGTTCAACAAAGGATACAACATCAATACATACTGACGACTCTAGTAACAAAACTAATGTCATTACAAGTTTTTTCAAAGAAATATATTTTCATTTCTTACTCAGCAAAGAAGGTCATTTGTTCCTTGAAGAATGTTTTTTCTCTCCTTTTCTAAGGTGTGTTGTACTTACAGTCCTCTCTCTCTCTCTCTCTCTCTATATATATATATATATATATATATATATAAGATCCACATCATCTGCAATTAATTCATTTCTTTTGAGATTGTTAAAATTTCCAAGTGAATGCTATGATAATTGGTGACTGTGACATAATTTGAACATGTAGTGACAATTAAAGATCCAAACATTATATTAGTTAAATTGCAAACATTATAATTTAAATTGATGTTAATTATTTGCCTGCCTCAAAGCAAAAGTGATGTTATTTCTTTTTTAAAAAGCACTCCAGGCTTCAAGATTTTCCAAGGGCAACTCCAAATGTAATGCTGCCTATTTCTATAGAAACTTCAATGAACCCGGGAGCACAATAATAATATTTGATGGCGAGAGAAAGTTTTCATCTACAAAACACAATTTTTCCACATAGTCTTTTCCATTGGCTGTACATTTTTACCAACGATGAGCAACAACTTGTATCGCATGCTTGTAAATTTAGCTTGTCAAATACACACATCATTGCTGCCACTGATGAAATGCATTACTCACAACGCAACTGTGCTCACATCCATCGTTTGGTCTCTGTAAATGTCTAGCAAGCATCAGTGGGTGCTATTACTTTCACTATGGAGGAATTCAATGACATGCTTTCACTTTGTATGCATTAGTGCACAACTGCTGTCTATAAAAAAGAACCCCCCCCCAATACTATAAGTAAATTTGGTGGAATGTTCAACCTCTATCACTAAATACCCAATAGTCTAATTCTTATGTCAATGACCAATATAATAAATGGGAAGCATTACTTTTAGAGCCACACTTTTATATTTGAAGCAGTCAATACGCTTCTTTGGATGGTAATATCTTTTGAAAATTAGCAAGTAATAAAAATTTGCATTTTCAAAGGTTTTCTGCTCCTGGTACTACACAGATTTCATTCCTTCTCAATGCAAAAGAGTTTCAGGTAAAATAAAATAGTCACAAATATAAAATATAATTCATTATAAATTGGAGGTAGTTACATTTATTTTTTTGAATCTGAAAATGGAACAAGAAAGGAAGCTTTTCCTCCATCGAGATTTTGAAAATTCAATCAAATTTAGAAGCAGCGAAAATGTTTTAAAAAATAAGAAACAAAAAGCAACCCATTTGAGAGAATATATCTCTAAAAATTATATGAACACAATTTAAAAAGACTAAATCTGCTCTATGACATACTGACTTTTCTATAATGGTCATGGAAATAATAAAACATTTTTAAAATCTTTAATGTCATATTTCAGATATGGTTTTTAATCCTGCATTCTGTTTTATAGCACATTGTTTCTTCTATAATGGCCAGTATATAATTTTTTTAAAATTTTGTCATATTCAAGGCACTGTTTTTAAATCTGAATGTTGATTTAAAGCACACTGTTTCTCTATAATGGTCATGATAACAACTTCTATGGCATATTGACTTCTACATAATGTAGTTCTAAAATTGTTTTACCAAAATTTGTTATTCTAATTTCCAAATATCACATATCAGACACTAGTAGGTCTATCACTAACTTCTATTACTTTGTGTGTGTATGTGTTAAACACCTATTGTTGGTTACAATCCTATTAGGTATGACTGCAAAAACATCCCCCCTCCTCTAATCTATAGACAAATCATACAGATGCATGTTGGGAATTCTTTCTAGCCAATAATATATGCAACTTCTCAGTTTCCTTTGCCATATTACTATTCTTTCTTGTCTGTAATTATTTGTTTGTATTGTTTTTTGTGTGTTAACACCATTGTTAGTTTGGGAATGTTTTTGCCTCATTACTGTTGCTTGGCTTATTTTTGTCTTGCTTACTATTTTTGGCCCTCTTCTTTTATTTTTCTTGTTTATTGCAAACTTTGTCAATTCTGCGTGTTGGGCATTTCTGCCAATTACATTTACCTGTTGCCAGTATTGTCTGTAAATCTAAATGTCGGTCATAAAATTTTGCCAATCTCACTTTGTTCATATCTAAGACTAAGGACTAAAAATTTACTTGTGAATCATTAATAATTAAATCAAACGCACACAATAATTGATGCAATCTTATATAGCCATTGAAGATGCTAATTTTCTAGAATCACTCAATATCTGCGACACAAGATATCAATAAAGCAGAATTCTTTTGTCTTTTTAAATTTGATTTTAATCATTGTTATCTTAATTCTGAAATACAAATCTTAATAACCTCTAGATTATTTCTTCTTTAAAAATGTTTATCTGCATATAATTCTTGTCTTTAGACACTTAAATTCCTTTTACGATTCATGGAAAAGGGGTGCAAAGAGATATTTTGGATTAAGGTCAATTCTACTCTTATCCTAGGTGCCTGTAATTCTGTTATCTCAGAACCAATGCCATTAACAGGAGATTTGACTTCAGCAAGTGTCTTTTTTTGTTTTATTTACAATATGATTCAATGTTTGTTCATGAATTAGAAAAAAACTTTCTATGCAAAAAAAACTCTGTATTGTTGTAGCAGGAATTGAACAATGAAAACTGAAATCTCTCATCACTTTCGGATAAGCAACCAACAGATTAAGAAAACAAAACAAACAGAGTATCTTGGAAATATGATAATCAGAAATAAATGTTTACACTATTTACTTCTTTTAGACTGTTTTCCTAATCTTTATTGCTATATTCATGACATTTCAGCCATTGTATGCTCTAGTCTTCTTCAGGTCATTTATGTTGGAATTTTGAACCAAACCCTTTATTTAGTCCACAAGGAGAGGTTGTTCTACTTCCACATAGCATGAATTTTTTTTTTTTTTTTTAAATATCTTAGTTTCATTTAATTCCCTTCAGTAACTCAACTTGCCAAGTTTTTGTTCCTTCTACTGTGGCCAGGGATTGAACTCTTTGGGTCAAGTCACTTTTTGGATCATTCAACCAATGCTTTTATCCACTGTGTCCAAAAAAGTGACTTATCCACTAAATTAAAATTTGCAAAAAGATGCAGTTTACACTATTTACATCATTTGGACTGTTGTCCTCATTTTTATTGCCATATTCACAATGTTTCGGCTGTTGTACACTCTGACCTTCAGGTGATATATGTTGAAATTTTGAACTGAACCCACAGGGCCATTTGGATAAAGAGTTGGTCAAGTAATGCAAGAAGCGACTTGACCCAAAGAGTTCTGAATTCAATACCTGGCCACAGCAGAGGGAACAAGAGTTACTAAAGGCAATTAACTTAAACTGAGATATCCCCCCCACCCCCAAAAAAAGGATGGCATGTAGAATTAGAACGATCTAAGCCTGTGGACTAAATAAAGGGTTCATTTTGAAATTTCAACATATATCACCTGAAGAAGTCTAGAGTGTACAATGTCTGAAACATCATGAATATGGCAATAAAGATGAGGACAACAGTCAGAGCAATGTAAATTGTGTAAATAGTTACAATAGCTCATCTCAGAAATATAGACAAGGAGAAATATATATTGCTTATATGAAATGAAGACACTATATCTAAGGCCATATTCCCCTGTTTATGTATGGCATTAGATTCCTTTATACTTTGGAAATGGTACCAAAAGAAACAAAAAAGAAAAGCTATTATGTGACTTGGATTACTAAACTTGCATGTGATATTTAAGTAAGAAGATTTTCTTTCTGTGTGTCCTGAAGCCATGATGTTATAAAATAATGCAATCAATATATATTAAGATTTTCTTTCTTATGTAAAGACAAAAGATTTTGTTCAGGACAGCAGTGAGTCACTTTTCTAGTCACCCAGAAAACTGAACACGATTAGGATTTAGATTGAGATTAAATGGACAGTCATAAATAGTTGGCCACTTTGTGAAGACATGGATGTACTTAGAAGACAAGCAAAGTATTCAGCTGCCAAATAAAGCAATTCTTTTATTATCATCAACAAAATGGGAAAATTTATTTTCCTTCCTACTTCTAACCGTGGCCTCTTTTTATATAGACAGCATGCATTTTTGAAAGGGAAATAGTGTTTTTGACACAGAAGTTTCCATTTTCATTGTATAATCATTAAGATATTTTTTGTTGCTCAATTTGAGAGGCAAAAGGTTTGCTGCTCTTTCATAGACCAATCTGGCCAATAATATTGGTTATATGTGTGTGTGTGTGTGTGTGTGTGTGTGTGTGAGATAGGTAATTGAATAACAAAATGGAAAAAAAATCCTGTGATGCATTTCATTCTTCAGAAGAACTTCTTCAGACTAATGTTTATACTGATGGAGTTTATATATAGATATATAATATTATAAATTAACTGATTTGAAATATGTTTTTTTTCGCTACACTGTTCTAACCATGTTTCAAAAATGGAAGTTAAAAGCTTAGAATTTAATTTTGTAATTAAATTAAAGACATTAGTTCCATTTCATCCTCAAGCAAATTTTGGAGTAACTTATTTTTAAATTTACTGGGTTTTAAAGGCACGGCAAAAATCATAATTTACAGTTTTCAAGGATACATAGAAATCTATTCATCCAGACAAGGGGTAGTTGCATGTTCATTTTATTAACTTTTATTGTATCAGTTATTAGTTACGTTTGAAAAAGGGTTATGTTTAGGTGGTGGGTAGGGATGTATTTTTCAATGAATTATGACATTTGTAAAAATAAAAAAATATCTATAAGAACACCAGATAATATATCTTACTGTTCTTTCATTTTATTTATATATATATATATATATATATATATATATATATATATATGAAAGCAAGGGAATTAAATTTGCGGAACTGAATTCCAAGATACTTTCTCGATCACTACAATCTTAACCTGTTCAATTTTAGGGTTAACCATTATCTTCCCCATATATTCCTATAAACTGTGCCTCTCACTCTGTGATTTACAGCCATATCACATTCAAACATTGGTTCCTGTACAATCATCAAAGTCAAGCAACGTCGAGCCTGTTCAGTACTGAGATGGGTGACCACTTGGGAATACCAAGTGCTGTAAGCTTGGATGTGCAGGTGGTGTAATGGATAACAACTTAGAATTGTTAACCGGAGAGCCAAGTTCCAATTTCAGTCAGGTTCATTATATTCACTTACATGCAAATACCCTTGGGAAAGGTATGAATCCACCTATTCTCCTCCCAGCTATGGGTTAATTAGTAAGACTTGTATCATTAAATCATTATCATCTCCCCAAAATTCTTACAATCTAAAAATATTTTCTGGGTTTAAATAACCTGCAAAGGTTTTATAAGCTGTAGAAAACGAATCAAGAAAGTCAAATCTTACTCTATCTTGATTATCATTCAATTACTCAAAATTAGTCTGGTACATAGAGTTTGTATGGCATATTCTCATATATATATATATATATATATATATAAATTTCTGATATACTCTATCTGTAAAAGGATATGAATAAAGGCATAAGGAAAACTTATCTTAGCTGGATGTTTCATCTAAATGCATTAGCTCAGATAGGCTTTCCTTTTGTTTTATATATATATATATATATATATATATATATATATATGATAAAATATATTTTTAAGGTATGCTATATTATGTACTTATGAAAGGAAAGGGCTCAATATCTTGTAGAGAGCATATATACAAATATGTAAACAAAAAACAAAAAAACATTTTAAGTTGTCTATATTTTTCCAAATGATTTAGGACAATTTTTCACCCCCGAATCTGAAAATGACATCTGTTTCTCTCAATCAGGTCATATTTTTGTGCTATGTTGGGTTTTAAAAATCCAATCTTATGACTAAATTGATTACAATTAAATCGATTGAATTTTGTTTATATTTCTCATAAAAAATAAGTTTTTAAGAGAAAAAAGTTGTTTTCTAACACAATTTATTAATTGTTACAAACATTGATTAGTTTTAAATTGAATAGTAGACAATCAGAAATGAACTGCCAGCCATGCAATTCTAATATAGAAAAAGTTTATAATATATCTTCTACATTGTTTTATAACAAATACATATAATACTAGCTTAAAAGCTGCCCTATTGTGTGGCATTTAAGCTAGCTCCTATGGAAGGCTCTTGATTGGGCTTTCATCATAAGAGATAGGGAGGAGTAGATGCGATAGGCAACAATAAACTACAGAAGAATACAAAATTGATTGCTTCATTTAAGTTACCTTTTAAATGTTCAATGATAATTCTTCTTACATTACGTTGTACACTTCGGCCTTCTTCAGGTGATTGGAATTTTGAAATGAACCCTTTATTTTGTCCTCCGGAGTTAGAGTGTTCTAGTTTCAGGTGCCATGCCTCTTCCTAGTGTCTTAGTTATTTCCATTTAACTTAACTCCCCAAGTTTTTTGGTTAACCACTACTGTAGCTTGGTATTGAAGTCACAATTCTCTGTGTCTAGTCACTGGATCTAACCAATGCCTTTATCCACTGGATCATGTGTCCTTGAGGATAAAGGCATTGGTTAGATCCAATGACTAACAAAATAGGAGAATTTTTTTAAATTTGATTTTTAAAGTTAAATATTATTACTATTAAGCAATTTGAGAAAATATATTGGTAAATAAAAATAATAAAACTGTATTTTTTGACATCCATGTTTTAACTAATGTTTAGTGTTTTCAGTAGACACACAAACTTTGAACTTTATATATAGATGAAAAATTGAAAATCAAAGAATTAAAAAATGTGAATGGTTTAATAAACAAGAGGAATTCTTTCAAACTGTTGGTACACTGACAGAATTTTAGAAGTGTTCAAATGCCCTTTTAGAAAAATTGATGTGCATGTTTGTTTTGTTTAATGACATATCAAGTCCTTATGGGTCATTTAATGCCAATATTTAATTTTCTTAGGAGCTCTGAAGTTATAAAAGTATGATGTGTTATTATGCTTTCACAATTGAATAAATGGTAGATGATACTCAGTTTTTGTGAATATATACATTTGTGTGGACATAATTACTCGAGGTGGTGATATGTGTGTTTTATATTGGTTTTTTAAGTTCTATTTTGGAATATAGTTTCTTTAAGAAATTGTAGGCAATTATATGGATTAATGTCATGAAAGAGATCTTTCATGTTGGCTGGTTTTGTTTAGTAGCATATCAACCTCTATGGATTAATACAGAAATCTAAATATTAGAACACAGTTTCATCTCATTAACTAAATATATTTTGAACACAATTACAGTTGTGGTCTGTTAGGGGCTGAAAGAAAGACATGGAAAGAAGGTAGGTAGGTTGAACAAGTGAATTGAAATAACAGAACATATATACAAAATAAGAGTTTTATTAGTCACCAGATAGAAGTATCCATCTGAACTCTCAGGTTACACTGCATCCTGACTGCCTTAGGAAGTCTTGCAGGTTAGTATTTATGAAGGAGGAAGAGTTCATTCTAATGTAGATAGGTCACCATAACAATTACATGCCTTCAACTACAAATAAAATGTATTGTTGGTCATTTTACTATAAATAGTTATTGTGGGTAATTTTACTATAAAATGTATTTTTATACTTTCATAGTGTTTTTTTTTTTTTTTGTATGGGAGTACACTATTACAACAGAAATTAAGAGATAATTCCATACCCCACCCACAAAATCGGAGGCCTTGCTGCCGGATGTAGTTTATCATCATAAAGATTATGTAAATAAAAAGCATTGTTTTTTATGCTTATTAAAAAAACTCTTTAAAAAAAAAAAAATTTAGATCCAGCCCTGTAGGATTGATTGACTGTCTTGCTTTTTAAGGCTAATCAACCATTTGTGGATTATTTAAAGCTGATACATATTTCTTTTTTTTTTAAAAGAATATTGCATTAAAACTTTTTGAGATAAAAATGATTTTCCCAGAAATTATTTAACCTATAGCTGGGGGTTATACGTAAGAATCTATCTATATATATGTATGGTATACACCTCCAAAACTCTAAATGACTAGAGTTTGGTAACTGACCTCTCCTCTCACCTAGCTTGAACAGTGTTGGAATTGACGGATTACATGCCTCGAAAACATTCCATCATCATCATTATCACTGAGTAGACATAGAACTTTCACAGAATGGGATGAATAGATGTCTCCTCAAGGAGACACTATGCCTTGAGTGCCTTTTGAACTTAAAATCAACCCACATCTCAAGTGAACCTTGTACATACAATCAATCTATAAAAATGTTGGAAAAATAGTTAGTTCCCTGTAATGCCCCCACTAAGTACCCGACTCCTCCTGTGATCCTCTACTTTTGCAAGAGTCAGATCAGACTGAAAATGGAGTGCTGCTGCCATATATGGGCAGGAGCTGCACGGTCTTCCCTTTCTACTCTCGATAGAGTCCCAAAGTGTCTCCCATTCTCATAGATGAAATGTTGCAAGCCTTTCAATGAAATGTTCAAATTACATTCTTTAGTTCCACCAGTTCTAACTGTAATCCTGCCACACCCATTGTAGCAAACCACCCTCATTCCCTTCCATATTCCACCGGTGAGAACTAAGTTCCTTTCGAGCAGATTCTTTCTATGAACCACTGTGGTTTTGTGGAACCAATTCCCAAGATGATGCTTCCCTGATTACTACACTCTTAACCATGTCAAATCTAGGGTCAATCATTATTTTCCCCACATATCCTTATAAATTGTGCCTGTTACTCTGTAAATCACTACTTCGAGATCCTTGTACATGGTGAACATTATTGTTAAAAAAAAAAAATAAAAAAAGAAGAGAGAGAGAGAGAAATATAAACAGACAGAGACTCAAATACATATCTCTTCCTGAGAGATCTCATGCTTACATGTTTGTTTGTGTGTGTGTGTGTGTGTGTGTGTAACAAGAAAGTGAAATATAGTAAGATCAATATGAAAAGAGAGAGATACAAGGATCTAGTTGTAGGTGTGACCAGAAAGACTGATAAATACAAACATAAATAAAAGATACAAACAGACAAGGAATAATAAGATGGATTGATTAAATGTTAAGTATGACTTGACCATTTTGGATTGAGAAGAAACTGATTGAGATGAAGAGTGAAATGTTTAGATGAAACTAAAGTCTTTGATAAACAAGAGTCTTTGATGAAGAGCCTGTCAAATGGCAACAATTCTAATTGTATTAAAGTAATACTCAAGGGCTGAACAATTCTTCTTTTTTGTTGTCTCTCCAAGAAATAACTTAAGCAAAATATTGTTTTCTTGGTTATTTGCCAAGAAAAAGGTCATTAAAAAAATTCAACCAAACAATTCTCTGTGTGGTGTGTATCTTTACAAATGACTTAAAACTGATGAAAACATTTGGCCATAGCTTCGTCTTTATATTAATGTAGAATTAATGAATATCAATTCTTTACCTATATTAAAAAATCTAGAGAAACTTACAGTTGGAGAGGAAATGGGTGCCGCCAAGCTATCTGAAAGCCAACTGAAAGGATCATGAGGAAGAAGAATCAAAGCCTGTTTCTTCTGCCCTCATTGACCCCCCCCCCACCATGACTGAAGCAGTCAAGAGATAAAATACAAAATAAAAATAAATAATAATTTTAGAGAACCTTTTTTGCCTTCCAACCACATGGCTGATATTAACATCCGAGAGAATGACTCATTATGCCTTATTGGGCTGACATGAAGCAGAAAGATTATATTGAATCAATTGCTAGATCTATGGCTAGGAAAGTTGGTTCATGATGTCATGCTTGACAAATTTTCACTCCAGAATTTAGCTGACACATTTAAAAAGTTGAATATTCGTCCATGTGTTGAATATTGCTGCCACATCTGGACTGATGCTTCTGCTGTATATTTAGAAATTCTTGATAAAATCCAAAGAAGAATCTGCAATATTATTGGTCCTGAGTTGGCATCTGGGTGTCAGTCATTTTCCCACCGCCATAATGTAGCTTCCCTGTGCCTTTTCTATAAATATTTTTATGGTAATTCTTCTAATGTTCTTCCCTCTTTGGTACCTCAACTTTACAAATTTGAGCATAGTATGATATTGGCATATTATAGTTGAAACTGTAA